ATTCAAGTAACGTACACAATTGCTGGAAAGCCGACTTTGACATATTTTGACGCTAGCAAGCATCATGAACCTCTTTTTACCTTCATCGAGCGCAAATTTCAACGATGAAGAAAAATGCAATCTTGTGGGTTGCAGATTTCTGAGTATATATTATCAAAGTGTCGGTACTCAATGATGACAGCTTAACTATATATACCTACTTAAAAATATCTCAAATGTACGTTACTTAATCAATTTACGCATATATATATATATATATATATATATATATATATATATATATATATATATATATATATATATATATATATATAGCATCAGGTAGAAGCTTCTTAACAAGCGATGATTCGTAAACTATCCTCTCTTGAGAGAGCGCCGATTGAATTACGCCCCTCAATTTCCCGCTTGTTTTTATTTTATTAATTTCTTCTTCTTCTTCTTCTTCTTCTTCTTCTTCTTCTTCTTCTTCTTCTACTACTACTACTACTACTACTTCTTCTTGCCCTTCTATTTCAACTTCTTCTTCTTGCCCTTCTTCTTCTTTTTTCCCTTCTATTTTTTCTTCATTTTCTTCTTCTTCTTCTACTTCTTCGTCTTTTTCTTCTTCTTCTTGCCCTTCTTTTTCAACTTCTTCTTCTTCTTCTTCTTCTTTTTTCCCTTCTATTTTTTCTTCATTTTCTTCTTCTTCTTGCTCTTCTATTTCTTCTTCATCTTATTCTTCTTCTTGTGTTTCTTCTTCTTCTTCTTCACCACCGTTTTTCTTTCTCCTTTATCTTTTTTTGCTACATTTTATGCCCTTCTTTTTCTCGACGTCTTCTTTTTTTTTCTTTTCATCATCATTCATTTCCTTCCTTGGTTTTTTTCTTCTTTGTCTGTTCTTCTTTTTCAATCGATTTTCTCCTTCATTTTTTCTTTTGATCTCGCTTCCTTTTTCTTTCCGTTCAAATCCGCTTTCCTTCATTTATTTATTTATTTATTTTTGTTATTTATTTGCTCTTTTCTGTCCTTTTTCATTTTCATTCTTTCTTTTCTTTTACTTCTCTTGATATTTTCATTTTTTTCACTCTATCCATAAAACTAACTCTCGCACTCTCACTCCCTCTATTTCTCACTGACTTTCTCTTTATCCTGTAGTTTTTCCCCACTTCCTTCCATATGTTTTTCTTTACTAATTCTCTACTTCTCACCCCCTTTCTTCTTTTAATCGATTGCTAATTATTTTCTCTTTTCTTTCACCTTGCATCTCTTTTTCTCTTTCCTTCGTCTTATTTTTCTTTATCTCCTCCGTCTTCTATATTTTCTTTTATGATTTATACCTTCTTTATTCTCTTTCATCTCTTCATTTCTTCCTTCCCTCTTTTTACATACCCTTTCTTTTCCTCCTCCTGCCTTCATTCTTTCCTTAATTCTTTCTTTCTTTAATTCATACCTTCCTTTTTTTTTCCTTCCTTTTGCTTCTTTTCTTGTTTCCTTCCTTGCTTATTTCTGATTTTCTTCTTTTTATCATCTTTTTCCTTCCTTTTTCCTTCCTTCCTTCCTCCATTTTTCTTCCTTTCTCGTTTTCTTTGATCTTTCATATTTTCTTCTTATTTCCCATCTTTTTTTTCCTTTCTTTCTTCCTTTATTTGTATCTTCCTTTGTTGCTTCTTATTTTCTTTCTTTCCATTTTTTCTTTCCTTTCTTTGCTTCTTCTTCCTTCTTTTTTTTTTTTTTTTTCTTCCTTCCTTCCTTTCTTCCTTATGTAACCTTAGTATCTTCACCACATGAACATCTCGTTCAATTCTCTTCATTTCTCGTTTCTTCTTTTATTATGCTTCCTCTTTTTTTCTGACCAGGGCTTACAGTTCTCTTACCTTTTCTTCTTCCACGCCCACTCTCACTTTCTCTTTTTATTCCTTTAACTCTTCCCCCTCCTTTTCCTGTAGTCTCCTTTTTCTTTTTCTTTTTTTCATGGTTTCTTTTTTTTTTCTTCATTCTTATTTTGCAATGCGTTTCCTAAATTTCCTTAATGCTTAAATCTCTCCCATTTTTCTCCCTCGCAACTTTTACCCTCACGCTTTTTCTATCCTCTCCATTTTTCCCTTATCCTCTTTCTTTTAATCTTTCTTCCCTCTCTCTTTACCCATTCTCGTTTCTCTCTTTCCTTCAATTCTATTTACTGCGTCTCTATCTGTTTTCTTCTCTTTCTTCATTCCTTCTACCTCTTTTCTTTCATTTCTTTTTTGTATCTATCACTCGCTTTAGCTTGTTTGCCTTTCTTTCTCCCTGTTTTCATTATAGCTTCTCTTGACATTCTCCTTTCACCCCCTACTTTTCTTTATTCTTTCTTTCTTTCTTTCTTTCTTTTGTTTTTGTCCTTATTCCATTTTCAATTTTTATTTCATATTTCGCTCCTAATTTTTGGGAATTCTTTTATGGGTTTTCTTTCTTTCTTTCTTTTTCTCTTTCTTTCCTTCTTTCTTTCTTTCTTTATTTATTTTTCTCTTTCTTTCTTTCCTTCTTTCTTTCTTTCTTCACCTTTCTTTTTTCTTTCTTTCTTTCTTTTTCTCTTTCTTTCCTTCTTTCTTTCTTTATTTTTCTCTTTCTTTCCTTCTTTCTTTCTTTCTTTCTTCACCTTTCTTTTTTCTTTCTTTCTTTCTTTCTTTTTCTCTTTCTTTCCTTCTTTCTTTCTTTCTTTCTTCACCTTTCTTTTTTCTTTCTTTCTTTCACTTATTTCTTAATCACTCTCTTCTCTTAATCTTTGTCCGCTTTCTCTTCCTCTTTCTTCTTTTCCCCTTCTTTACTTTCTCCACTCCACTCAAATGTCCAAACGACCATTCAATGCTGCATAAAATTGCCACAATGTCCGCTCCCTTGTGTTGGTTTTTCAATTTTCTCTCAGCTTGTCTCCCTGCCAACCAAAAAATTACATCAGCAAACAAGGACAAGAAAAAAAAATACTTTCAGGTATAGCCCAATGGTGAGAATAGAAGTTTCAAAATTGAGTAACATCTCATTAATTCTTCTACTTTTATGTATCGCGTTCCTTCAGAACGTTGGCGACCATGGCTCTCCACAATTTCCTGTTCTTTGTAGCTCGTAATATTTTTTTTTTTGGTATCTCTCCTAAAACTTGTTTTGCCATGCCTCCGTCCGCTAGTTAGGTTATGCATTGTTTTCTCCTATCCGTCTTGCTTTCAATATGACCTGTGAGTATCAAATTTTCCGAGCGTTCTTTTCTCATTATGTGCCCCCAAAATTTCAACTGTCTTTCTGACGTTAAGTTTAATTGTCCTTTGTGCTTCCATTTTCTCAGCATCTTTCTGTAGAATCACATTGTTTCGTTTGGTTCTTCGTCTGTGAGGAAATTGTTCAGAATTCAGACGTTACAACGGGAAGCAAACTATTTCATCCATCAAGCAAGCCATAGATAGATAAATAGATTGATCGTCCCGTCACATTAGGGTCGAAGGGGCACGACATGGTGTATCTTGAGGAAGATAACCTGACGAAGCCTATCCCTCTTCAGGCTGGTTATGAAGTTGTTTTTCCCCTAGTAGAGAGCTCCGTTAATAGCTCCCTTGCTATTTTACCCGTAATTGGCAGAATAGATAGCTAGCTAGCTAGATAGATAGATAGATAGATAGATAGATAGTAAGAGAGTGAGAGATGAACAGGAGATATATAGAGAGAAAGATGAATAAAAGGAGACAGAGATACAGAGAGGGCGAGGGAGATTAAAAGAAGAGGATAGAGATAGAGGACAGAACTAGATAGATAGATAGATAGATAGATAGATAGATAGATAGATAGATAGCAAAACAATGATAGTGTCGTGGAGAGATGAACAAAAGAAATGAACAGAATTAAATGGAGACAGATGAACAGAAGGAAGAGAGAGAGAGATGAACAGAAGGAGATAGAGAGGAAAATAATCAGATAGATAGATAGATAGATAGACAGATAGACAATGGGCTATGCGATCGAAATCTGTAATTTTTGCCTCATCTCGAACACAGACCTCTCGTACCAACGCGTAATACAAAAAACGCATGCCATTAATTATAATCGCTTGGGTATTTTAGTCCCAAGCAACATTACTGAAGCAGCCAATTGGGATCGAACTCGTAGCACTATCGAACTGATCCGCGAGATAAGCTTGCTTGTCATTGGGCTGCGATAAGCGCGTTGAGTATTGACTATATTAATGAATTTTTTCCTTTCTTGTAGAAGATAATCGTTCCGACGTCTCTTTATATTCTCATCGCGTGTTCGGTGACTAAAATTATCTATGAGGAAAGCAAACCAGGAATATTTAATTACATATTAATGAAATTCTATAAAATCAATGGAAACATTCTAAAAAAAAAAAGTAACCTCTACTAAAAGATTCAAATTTTTCTCATAAATTGTTTGTCGTTTTCCTGATCCAGTGTTCTCCTTCGACCAATCATTTCTCGTTAGTCTGAGCACGAGACACACTGACAAACGCTGCTCGCGTGTCTGACAAAATGGAAGGAAAAAAGAAAGGAAAAAAGGAATCTATGTGAGGGATAGAAAGAGGTAGATGATGAAAAAGGAAAATTAAATGCGGAAGGAATAAAAGGGGAGAATTGAGTCGAGAGAAATCTAGGAATTGGAGGATCAGTAACAGATTCGCTTGTGTTAAACATTATTGAAATGGTCTCTGAAGCGAGGAGAAGGAAAAAGAAACTCTGGCCTAAATGAGAATTGAAAGCGCAACGATAAGGATTTAGATAGATAGATAGATAGATAGATAGATAGATAGATAGATAGATAGATAGGGAGAGAGAGGTACAGAGATGAAGAGAATGAGATATATAAAGGAGAGAACTTGAGGTAAGATAGAGAGAGAGAGAGAAGAAAAGAATAAGATAGATAGATAGATAGATAGATAGATAGATAGATAGATAGATAGATAGATAGATAGATAGTGGGCTGTGCGGTCGGAGATAGTCAGCCTGTGTGAAAATCAACATTTGAAATCTGTAATTTTTGCCTCATCTCGATAGATAGATAGATAGATAGATAGATAGATAAATAGATAGATAAACACAGAGAGAATGTGATAGCTGAACAGAATATGATAGAGAGAGAGAGAGAGAGATGAAGAGAATAAGATATATACTGAGAGAGAGATGAAGTGAATTAGATAGATTGTAACAACAGTAATAGATAGATAGATAGATAGATAGATAGATAGATAGATAGATAGATAGATAGATAGATAGATAGAGAGAAGTGAATAAGATAGAGAGAAAGAAAGCGATGAAAAGAATAAGAAAGAAAGAGAAAGATGAAGATAGATAGATAGATAGATAGATAGATAGATAGATAGATAGATAGATAGATAGATAGATAGATAATGAACAGACTGGGATAGATAGATAGATAGATAGATAGATAGATAGATAGATAGATAGATAGATAGATAGATAGATGAGGAGGCGATTGTTGATATTTTTCTCCAGTAAAAACCAATTGAAGCGGGAAAGAGTAGAATATTAAAACTGTGAAAATACGAAAAGAAATCATTTTTGAGCAAAGACTATGTAGCGGCAATTTTTCAAATGGAAATGGCCTGCTTAATAATAAGAAAGAAGAGATATGATGACTGGATAAGTTTTGCTGTCATTCGATCCCCAATCGCAGCTATCAGAAACCTCTGATATCAAGATGTCATTAATAATAATGTTGATGATGAGGAGTGTGTTGGTGGTTGGAGAAGAGTTGGTGTCCCTTAGTCTCCAACAATATACTCTGGTATATATATATATGTATACACACATATACAACTATAGGAAATAATAAAAAAAGAAGGAAAGAACATGTTAGATTTCGTTGCTCTGGAGTGCGCTGAGGGGATCTGAAAAAAAAAAATTTAAAAGGCAGATTTCGTCAAAAGGCTACAGATATTAAGCAACACGAAATTGACAGTCGTGTCAGTTGCTATCAAAATCCTAGAAATAGTTCCGGCTTTTTTCTGGGAGAAAAGACCGGGGGAGCTAGAAATCAAGGAAAAAAATTAACGACATTATTGAAAAAAGGTATGATACTGAGGAGGGTGCTGAAGTGTCCAGGAGACTTGCTCTCGCGGGATTTCCACTATTGGACAACAAATATTCTTCTGGTGTGAATACACAATGAATAATTACCGTTTGATTTTCTAGAATGTCATGTTATCATTATTTATACTATTTACATTCAGACAAACATCCCCATCTTTGTTGTTATTAATACGACGTTTCGACCGTTGCACTTTCCGGCGTGAATTTAGTTCATTCTTTGGGACAGTCAGTTAGTACTTGGAGAAATAGATGAAAAGTACTAAAAAGAACGAGGAGAAATATCCTTAAATATGGACAACGGAACAGAAAAAAATCTACGCCCCACACCTCTAGATTAAATAAAGATTTCAGTTCGAAATTCCCAGAAAGTTACCAGTGTCGACAAACATCTGAAGAAGGCCAGTGAGAACAACAGCCGAAACATTGTGATAAACGTTAGCCTGAATTTAATAATAATGTAAATAACTTAATGTGCAATAATAATAATAATAATAATAATAATAACAAAGCTGTCAAAATACAAAGACCTTGAAATAGAAATCTCAAAAATGTGGCATATGGGAACATCAACAATCCCTGTTGTAGTTGGAGCCCTAGGATTGGTTGGAAAAGATTCCAGTAGATTCATTGAAGGGATTCCTGGAAGTCCATGCCTCAAAGAGATACAAAAAATGGTTCTCACAAGTACAACCCACACTTTACGAAGGGCTTTATCTATGTATTTTTTTTTTTTTTTTGTTAGTGGAAAGTGTCATGCTGCCATTTCTAACCTTAGGTCCCTGGGCGGGACCCGGAAAGAAATGTGTAAACGCCAGAAATCAAAGAAAATAAAAATGATAATAATAATAGTTTTATACCAACATTACAATGTTAATAATAAGGAGTCTGTTTTTTTTTTTTTTTTTTTATTCTTTTATCGAACTTTGCCGAAAACACTAGATTAGAAATTGGATTAGTTGAATTGAGGTACAGTACTGCTGAATGCGGCAAGGCTACTGAGGAAGGTGCTGTGACGATAGCTACCAGACATCTGAAAAGTCTGAAAATGCAAATATATGAAACAGAGAAATAATATCGGACACTGAGTAAGATGACCCTAGGAGACTTGCTGCAACTAATTCTTCAGCGAGGATCACCAGACATTTGGGATGAACACGCAAGTGTTTGAAATTACAAATAATAATACTACCTAAATGGAGTGAGGTATCCCCACCTCATTACTAAAGCACGATAGGCTAGTGGCAATCATATGAAAATGGAAGTACCAAAGATGAAGAGAAAGAAATGGAGCAATATGAGACAATAATAATTGGCAGGACCTTCCTCGAGAGCTGAAAAAATATAGGATAAGAATATTAGAATTGTGCCAATGTCAGGAAGAATTAGAAATCCGAGGAAGGGTTGAGAGTGTACAGACTACGACATTGCTTGGCTCGGGGAAGGTACTAGAAAGGTGTTTCATATTTGAGGAAACTTGTCACTCAACCCCCAGTGATCACTTAAACGAAAATGCAAATATCGTCGTCTAAAGTGCCGGAAGTGATACATCCATGGGCTAATTGTCCAAAATCAAAGAGGTGCACGACGCCGTGACGTGTCCTAGTCTAATGTTCATTCAAATCATTCTATTGAACCTGAGGAGTCCATTTTTTCCTGTCAGGTCTAGAACAAGAGAGTGACAATTCCTTTATTCGAAATGGCACTGCCAGATGGATTTGTTTTTGAAGTTACCTTCTTTTAGGTCTTTGCCTAAAGCGGCAGGACCCAGACGGCAGCAGAGGTTTTTCCTTCTCGACTGGTTGTTATTTACCCATAGGGGAATAAACTACATCTGCGTCCTGGGTATGACGATAAACTACTTCTGACAGCCTCTGATCAGGAGGTTTTGAGGCGCGTGGTACCACTTCTTAATTGCTGGTGATCCCAGGTTCACCCTGACCCGAGGTGTTAGCAACTGTCAGGGTCCCGTCTATGGGCAAATAGTTAAGCCCAAAAATGAGGTCAAAATAATATGGAGGCGTAAAATTTGGTTTTATACCAGCAATACATTTTTGTAAAAAATTATTGCCAGCAATGAATTTTTGAAGGAAAAAAATTATTACTAGAAATACATTATTGACGGCAAACATTTTTGAAGGAAAAAATATTACCAACAATAAAAATCTTGTCGGCATTAAATAACCCATTGAGGTTGATATACCGTAAAACAAAACAAACCAAACCAAACCGTAAATTAAATATTTGTCTATTTACTATCCCTCCCCCACTTCGGTGATTTGACTGAAGAGAGTTACCTCGGTTATTTGATGCTTTCCTTTGCCATTTTTACCTACCTTATGCCCTCTGAGTGTCAATTTTTTCAAGCCTTCTTTCCTCATTATGTGTCCAAGAAATTTAAACTGTCGCTTGTATAAGAGTGTCTAACCTGACATTATAATTTCATTTTTGTTTCCATTGTCTTTAAAACTTCCTCCTTGTTTACCTACCCCCGTCCATATTCTCAGCATCCTTCTGTCGAACAATGGCTTCAAGTCTCATCTTTATCTGTGATTAAATTGTCTATCGTTCAATATTATATAAGAGGATTGATATTTCGTCCTGGGTATGACAATAAACTACATCCGCGTCCTGGGTAAGACAATAAACTACATCCGCATCCTGGGTAAAACAATAAGCTACGTCCAACAGCAAGGCCTCGGATCAGGAGGTTTTTAGGAGCTTGGAACCACCTCTTAATTGCTGGTGTTCTCAGGTCCAACCTGATCCGGGGTGGTAGCACCTGTTAGGGTGCCAGGTTTGGGAAAATAGTTAACCCTCCAGAAGGAGTCAAAACACTATTAAAGTATAAAAATAGGCTTTAATACCAGCAAAACTTTTTGGAAAAATTATTACCAGCAGTACATTTTTCAAAGAAAAATTACCAGCAATACATTCTTGAACAAAAAAATATTACCAGCAATAAAAATCTTGTCGGCATTAAATAACCCATTGAGGTTGATATACCGTAAAGCAAAACAAGCCATAGGGGGAAAAATGGGTTTATACCTTTCCCCAGGGTATTGTAAGCTTGTAAGAGAATACAACAAATTCGAACTCGGCTCACAAATTCTTCAATCCGAGCAGCTATCCATTACCCCACACGAATATATATGTAAGATAGAAATAATAACAGATACTTAGAATGGTGTTGAGATCTGAGGAGAATTTCTGTCACATCGTTTTCAGAAATGGGTGACAATCATCTCGTCTGAACGTGGAAATATATATTTTTTAAGCATTTCACCTCAAGCAATGCGGGAGTGTCACTAGCACGCAAGGGTTACTGAGTGTGGGAGCAAGAGTAAAGAGACGTGATAGATGAAAGGATGAAGAGAAGGATAGGGGATAGATCAAAGCATCTGGAGATGTCGATTGACATTGCATTTGAATATTTGGAGATTATAGCGATCAGGGAAGCAAGTAAGGGGTAGGAAGTTCCACTGACGGGAAGTGCGAGAAATGAAGCCATTGGAGTAGAAGAGACGGCTACATTTAACAGTTTCGACAATGAAAGGGTGAGATTGACATGCCAACCTAGTAGCACGCTTAAATTCGTGCAGTTTGGGAACCAGATAAAGTAACTCATCGGAGCAATTACCGTGAAAGTATTTGTAGAAAAGACAGAGGGAGGCGACGGCACGTCTGTGAGAAAGCGACTGTAGACGAGATACCAGATCAGAGCCAATCACATAGCATATCCGTCTCTGGATCTTGTCGAGGACCTTAAAACGAACAACGGGGGCACCAGATCATATATGGCAGCAGTATTCCATGCAAGGGCAAATGGTTGACTTTATAGATTTGAAGGGTGAACTCGGGCGAGAAAAATTTTCTGGCGCGACACAGGGAAACAAATTTCGTTGCGGTAGATGAAGCTATTGATTCAATGTATTTGTTCCATCTCAGGTCAGCGGACAGTGCGAGACCAAGCAGTCGAAGGGAGGTTCTCTCGTGGAGTTGATCATCAATCATTCTAATGGGAGACAGGGAGTGTTCTCTGTGGTGGATAAAAATGCAGGAAATAATAATAATAATAATGATAATAATAATAATAAAAAAGATATTCAAAAAAGAAAATGGACCTTGAAATAGAAATCTCGAAATTGTGGCATATGGGAACATCAACAATCCCTGTTGTAGTTGGAGCCCTAGGACTGGTTGGAAAAGATTGCAGTAGACGAATTGAAGGGATTCCTGGAAGTCCATGCCTCAAGGAGATACAAAAAATTGTTCTGACAAGTACAGCCCACACCTTACGAAGGGCTTTATCTATGTAATTTATTTTTTTTTTTTTTGTCAGTGGAAAGTGTCATGATGCCATTTCTAACCTTAGGTCCCTGGGCGGGACACGGAAAGAA